AGGCATCTATATTTTGTATAAACCTTGGGACTTATACATGATCTGTGTGTTGTATATTTACATGAAATTTTGAGGGCTAATTTGATCATGTCACCATGGGTTGTAATATAAGTATGGCTATATGTTTTGTTCTTTTGGGGTGTGGAAGCCCAAGTCTTGTAATATATTAAATTTACCACTAATGTTGAATGATTGTGTGAAGCATGAACTACTTAGTTTGGTTACTCAAAAGGTGGTAATATTCTTTTTATATCATTTTTACTAATGTGAGGACAATATATATGCATAAAAATCTCGTGAGTTATTGGCTTATATTATTTCGGAAGGGTCGCTACAAGTGTTGGTATCAGAGCCTAGGTTTGTGGGTCTAGGACTTTTGTTGTGAATTACTTGTAGACTTGTTCGCTTTCAAAAAGGGTTTTATTTGGATTATTTGCTCACTTACATGGTTTAAAATATTTTTTATCGTATGTAGAGTGCACATGCATCATGTACATGTCCCTAATGTAATGTGATCTTCCTTTTTGAACGAATTAAGTTATGACCTCTTCTTCTGACCGACCTATGAAAGCTGCTCGTGAAGGTTCGGGTGCCTCTGTTTCCCAACCTCATGCACTAGAAGAGGTTGGAGAACCTTTCTCGAATCAATATGTTCCCCACACTAGTGGATCTGAAGTGGGAAACCATCATGGGGTAAGAGCTGGTTCACATCTTCACATGAGTCGTGATACTCAAGCCATGTATCCTCCTTTTCAACAAATGGCTGAATTCTTCTACCACATGGCTGAAGCAATGCATTATCCCAACGTGATTAACTTTGAGAAAATGAAGAAAATGGGTGGAATGGAGTTTGAAGGCACCATTGATCCCACAGATGCTGAACAATGGTTGGAGCGCATGTAGAGGGTATTTGAGCAGTTAGAGTGTTCGGATGTTGCCAAATTTAAGTATGCTATTTCACTATTACAAAAGGATGCTTACGATTGGTGGGTAAGTGTTCCAAATGCCAAGGTAAAACCTCTTGTTCTTACTTGGGATGATTTTCTTAAGGAATTTCGTATGAAGTATGTCCCACCTGCTTATTGTGATGCAAAGAGAAATGAGTTTTTGAATTTAAGGCAACGAAGCATGTCTATTGTTGAGTACTAACAGAAGTTTCTAAGGCTCCCTCGTTATGCTGGGGGTATTATTAAAGAGGAAAAAGACAAGTGCATGAAATTTGAAGACGGTGTAAATGATTCCATTAGGAAGAATGTGGCGATTCTGCAACATGAGAACTTTTGTAAGTTAGTGACTGCTGCTTTTACTTGGGAATGACTTGATAAAGAAGAAACTAGTAGAAATGAAAACAAATTCTGGAAGCCTAGACCAGATTTTGGGGGTCCATCAGAAAGGGGAAGGTTTGATAATTCTAAGGCTGGTAGTGATAACAGGCCACCGCAACAAAAGCAAAACAAAAAAGATTTTTCTACAGCTAGCACTCCAAATTATGGCCAAGGCAAGCCTCGTGTTCCCACTTGTCCGCAATGTGGAAAGATCATTATGGTACTTGCAGGGAGAGCTTTCTGGTGCATGTTTTAATATGGGAGCTTTGATCATAAAGTGAAGGATTGTCCTAATCCTAATAAAGCACCTTCCTTGAAAACTGAAGGCTCAGTTCATAAGCCTTCTATTAATCCTCCTCAAACTAATAGAGGTGCAAGACCTAAAAACACCCAAGCAGCAGGTACAAGTGGAGCTAATCAAGCTAGTGGACAAAGGGATACTGCACGCGCTTATGCTATGAGACAGAGGGATGATCAAGATGGACAAGACGTGGTTGTTGATAAATTTCACTTATTTGGCTTATGTGTGTTTACATTGATTGATCCAGGTTCTACACATTCCTATATTTGTTCATTACTTGTTCTTCCTGAAAATGTGAAATCTGTGAGACTTAATTACGATGTACTGGTTGAAAGTCCTTTGGGTTATCAAGTTGTGTGTAATCAAGTTTACCAAGATTGTCCCTTCGTGATTCAAAACCTAGTCTTCCCTGCTGATTTGATTGAAATGCCCTTCAAGGATTTTGATGTTATTATCAGGATGGATTAGCTTTATAAATATCATGCAGTGGTAGATTGTAGGTCAAACCACGTGACCTTTAAAGATCCTGCATTTTCACACATCATTGTACAAGGTGAAAGATCATTGATATCTAGTATTATTTTTGTGACCTTGGCAAGAAAGCTGATGCGTCAAGGTTGTAGGGCATACCTTGCTCACATAGTTGATACACAGTTGAAGAGTCCTTGTATCAAGGACATACCTGCTGTATGTGATTTTCCAGAAGTCTTCCCAGGAAACCTTCCTGGACTGCCCCCAGAAAGAGAGGTTGAATTTCCAATCGAGCTTATTCCTGGATCTACCCCTATTTCTATCACTCCTTATAGA